CCCAAAGCACACAGCAAAACTGAGCACACAGTGGTTGAAGGAGAAAAAGGTGAATGTCCTTGCATGGCCTAGTCAGAGCCCAGACTTAAACCCCATTGAAAATCTGTGGAATGACTTGAAGACTGCAGTCCACAAACGCTCACCATCAAATTGCACTGAACTTGAGCAGTTCTGCAAAGAAGAGTGGGCAAATATTGCAAAGTCTAGATGTGCAAAGTTAGTAGAGACAAATGCCAACAGACTAAAGGCTGTAATTAAAGCAAAAGATGGTTTAATAAAATAATGACACTACGGGGTGATCCTTTTTACGGTGATTCTGTTTTGTTTTTTTTTTTGTTTTTTTTAAATTTTTTCTGACATGATGGTGTTAAATCGTTCACTTGGATGTTATAAGTTGCACTGAGTAAATACAGCTGGATAAAACAAAAACTGTGTCCATCCTCATTTCAGGCTGCAATGCAACAAAAATTTTAAAGGGGGGTTATACACTTTATTTAACATTTTCTTGGACTGTTCTTAATTTTGACTATTTAATTTAATGATTTTATTTTGTCTTCTTTTTAATTTAAAGGTTTTATGTATGTACATTTTTATACGTTTTAGGTTATAATTTATACCAATGTACAAAGGAAAGTAACTGGTCATCATTTCTCGTAAGTTTTTTCATTGATTTTAAATTCCTTATTGCTGTAATCTCACAATTAACGTGCGCTCATAAATGCTGTGTGCATAGTTATTTTTTATTAAAAGCAAAATGCTGTTTAAAATACTTTTAGATGGAGTAGGGCAGGACATGCCAACTTTCCAAAAGTATTTCATGTCAGCTTCCCAAGTACATTTTAGGGGAATGCTGAAATGGCATAATCTTTGTTTCTTCACAGTTGTGTGTTTCTGTTTGTGTTGAATAATGAGGAAATAGTTGGACTTATTGCGTGTCTGTACTAGGCAAACTGATTTGAAGTAAATGAGTGTTTATCTGATTTTCATGTTTTCAGCCAGTCATCTTGCTCTTCTTCCTGTTTATCTTGTTGTGCCGTTATGTAAATACAGAAAATATGTTTGTCCAGCTTTACATTAAATGTTCCAAAACTAACAGCCTTGCATAGACAGACCTTTGACTTGTGGCATAAAGGATGTTAATTATTGTCTCTTTCTTTCTCACTTCAGCGGTTGCTAATATCTGTACTATTGTAAATTGTATCGTGTGAGGGTCTGACCGGTCAAACAACTCAGTGGTTGTGTGTGTGCATACATGTGATTGCATTAGTATTGAGTGAGTGATGCGTTGTCAATGTATAATCATATGCAAGAATGAACATGTTGTACTATGTGCATCTGTGCAGTGTTAGATCTTAATTATAATTGGGAGAGACTGCTGTTTATTTTATATATATATATATATAAATAAAATATCTTAATAATCACAATGCATTAATGACAATTTAGTTAATTTATTATGTAAAAAAGAAAAGTTTGAACCGTTTTCAACTCAGCATCTTAAAGACATTGCATTCATGGCATGAGGCACCAACAACTGCTGTCTAGGGCAGATTGACTGGCTTCATTGCAAAATTGCATTGCTATGGATTTATTTTTATGGATGAAACAAACAATAAGACGCAGATTACTCACCCACCTCTTACCCTAAAAGTATTTGTGTTAATTAATTGTGTGTGTGTGTTTTTCAAGAGCATGGCTTGTAAGGTTGTCTGTAATGTTGCTGGAATTTGCAGTCACTGAAATTACAGTAAATCCTGGAGGATAAACTCTTCTCATTCCTCAGTTTTGAGGAAAACTGTTTTCCCACATACAAGGAATGTTTTTGGCCTCAAGAGAGCAAGCATTTTGATTACACTCTTGTATGCTGCTTGTATGTTTTGCATTAAACAATTATGTGAAAACAAGGTGTGTGATATCACGATTTTTGATTGTGGACGATTAAAATGTCTCCATGATTGGCTTTTGAAGAAATATCGTAGTATCGGGCTACAGTGCACATTCTATCTGTTAGATAGAACTGTGATGTTATGCTCGACACTGAAGCTCCGAAGCTTATATATAAAAAAAAACACTCAAATGATGTGCTTTTCACATCAAAGCACTGTATCGGAGCTTGATTCGTTTTGCCAAAATCCCGTGATCTATGACGTTTGAAGCTTCGTTCGTCTGAAAACCACGTGACTGCTTCAGTATCTGGTTCAAACCTATACGAAGCGAACCTCAGCGCCGTTTCCTTTACCTTATATTACTTTATAATGCGTCCACATTGTTTTTTAAAAATTTTTATATCGTAATTAAATATTTGCCTCAAATGAACTTTGCCTATGAAATAACAGGACTGAGGCAGAGTTAAAATAGACAGATCGCGGGTTTAATTTATGAATTTACGTTTAATTTATTTGACTTATTTTAGTGCCAGTACACTGACACAAATGAATGACTTTGATAATTACCATTATTTATATACAATAAAATATTTAATAAATATTTCATTTGCGTCTTGTTCTGACATGCGCTTTCTAAGCTCATACACCTGAAATGCACGCTCACTAAAAAGCCTGTCAAACAGCACCTGATTACTGGACTAAGTTATCTTGCGAGTCTGATTGTGCTAATACTGTGAAAAACACACAAGGTTTACATATAAACACAGTTGGTTATGTCTAAAGTGAAAGTAAGCAGTTGAGAGAAAAACGGATGTGTGCCTGAAAATTAGATGCGTGCAGGTCTTAAATTGACAGCAGACTAATACTACTAAACATGATGCCGCTTGTCATTAAAGGGATAGATCACACAAAAATTTTAATTCTCTCTTTATTTACTCACTCTCATGTTGTCCCAAACCTGTATTAATTTCTCTCTTGTGCTGAACACAAAAGAAGATCTTTTGATGAAACCCACAATCATCAAAATATCTTCTTCACATTCATCAAAATAACTTTTATGTTCAACAGAAGAAAGAAACTCATTTGAGAAACAATTTGAGAGCATAAATGATGACAGAATTTTCATTTTTGGGTGAACAAAACAATAAAATACAAAGAAAAATCACTCACTGCTCTTGACTGAAGAACTTAAATACAGTTGTTTTAATAAGAATCAATTTATAATTTATACAGGGAAGTGTATATAGTGTTTAGTTGTTCATTAAATTTTTTGAATGCTACTTTTTAAACACACCTACTGTACCTGAAAAATAAAGCACTGTTAGTTTTATTTGTATATTATGTGTATTTGTAATGTGTATCTTTGTTGTTATTTGTTTAAAACAAAGATAAAATAATGACAAAGATTTTTGTCTTTGCCCTCTTTGGCCTAAATGTCTGCCATTCTTTTTTTTATTTTATATAAGGCTTTGCTTTTAAAATAGGGAAATTAGTTTGGCAGTACTGCTCAGACAACTTGCAAAATAGTAAAACCAGCATGACAAAGAATCGTGATAAAATCGTGATTTTCCTGGGGAAAAAAAAGCGTGATATGATGTAAACCATATCACCCACCACTATTTCAAATTATCTTACAACTTTGCCAGTTGTCATGCTCTTTCTAAAGGCACTGTTTATTTGGGAAGAATGTTTGTTTGATTGTTTGGAAGAATGTTTGATTGATTAATTAATCAGAAAAAATCTGAAGTATGTTTGTATGTTTGTGTATATATATATATATCCATTCCTTGTGAAGTTCACTCAAATTCTTGAATCGATTCTGCTTGACAATCATCATAAGGCTGTGGTTCTCTCGGTTGGTTGTGCAACTTTTTCTTTCACACTTTTTCCTTCCACTCAACTTTCTGTTAACATGCTTGGATACAGCACTCTGTGAACAGCCAGCTTCTTTGGCAATGAATGTTTGTGGCTTACCCTCCTTGTGAAGGGTGTCAATGATTGTCTTCTGGACAACTGTCAGATCAGCAGTCTTCCCCATGATTGTGTAGCCTAGTGAACCAAACTGAGAGACCATTTTGAAGGCTCAGGAAACCTTTGCAGGTGTTTTGAGTTGATTAGCTGATTGGCATGTCACCATATTCTAATTTGTTGAGATAGTGAATTGGTGGGTTTTTGTTAAATGTAAGCCAAAATCATCACAATTAACGTAGGGTTGCAGCACAAGGGCTCAGCTTGAGCTCTGCTCACCATCACTGTGATTTAGTGTCGTGGCTGTATGCTGAGTTTTGCACTTTGTATGTGTATGGAGGAAATATTTTATTAAAGGGGTCATATCATACATTTAAAGCATTTTATTATTTCCCAAAGGTCCACAAAAATGTTAGTCAGTCTGAATTATGTTTGTCATGATTTTCCACCCTCTCTGGCACATTCCATGAACGTGGTACAATTTTGTGTCAGGTGACTTTATTTCTAAATTAAGGCACAAATTTCATGTTTTGATTTGAGATCTATTAGAAATGTTGAGAAATTGTTATCTAACATAACTTGACCTTCTCGACTGTATCTAATGATAAAAATCATAAAACAATGTCATAATTTTGACACAATCTGATAAATCGAGTGCAGCATTCCGGTTTTGAAAGTAAAAACTCCTGTTCTCTTACTCTCCTACATTCATTGTCACATTAGCACTGCTTCATGGGATTGTCGTTCTTTGCCTCGTGAAAGTTGTCAAGTACACACAGTATTTTTGTCTGATTTTCAAAACTGTTTTTGCTTCAAATCAAAGATTGTAATGTTTGATTCACCTGAATGGGAAAATACCATAAAACCAATACTGCTGAAAAAGTGGGTGGGCACTAATGCACTCTATTGATATTAAATTCTTCAACTAATTCCCCAACATGGCTTCAATAAACGCCCACATTGCACTGGGGAAAAGCATTTGATTTGTGAAAGTTTCAGTACATTTTCATAATACAATGAACTCTTTTCAAAGGGTAATTTTAATATTTAATAATATGACCCTATTAAAGATTATAGATGAGAAAAATCATATGACAATGACAGTTTTAACCCTCTTTCTCTCTGTCTCTCTTGTTTATCACTCAGAGAGGGATTACACTAGCCTTTGTGAGAAGCAACCAATTTGTCGTCAGTTATTTCGGCAGTTCTGTGACACTCAGCCCAAATTACGGCGGTGCATAGAGTTCCTGGATGCTGTGGTATGAAATCTCTGCACAAACATACACATAGTCTGCATCTCTCTTTAACCTCTCTCTCTTTGTCTTTTTCTCTCAGACTGATTTACACACAGAACCATTCTCACCTTCAATCTAATGGAATACACATTTTGTGCACACTTTAAAAAATAAAGCTTCCAAAAGGGTGCTTTTGCAGTGATGCCATAGAAGAACCATTTTGGGTTCCTCAAAGAACCTTTCAGTGAACAGTTCTTAAAATAACTGTTTTTCTTTGAAAGAACATTTGAATAATCTAAATGTTAATGTGAATGTTAAAGGTTCTTCGTGGAATCAAAGATGTCAATGAAGAACCTTTATTTTAAAAGTTTGTACTGACTGTAGTTTACCATTCCGCAAATACTGCAATTTCATTGGTCATTTCAGCATTATTTGTTTGTGTGTGTGTGTTTGTTTAGGCAGTGTATCAGTTGGCTCCGGATGAGAAGAGAAGAGACGTCGCTTTAAATATTTTAGACACATATTTTAATAATGGGGTAAATATTTAATTCAATATTTTGCTTGCACACACCTGTTCTCACACTCTCCTGCATGCATGTGTCTATTGAAAGAATTGCTGAAACAATGACTGAACTTTAAACTTCTCTCTTTTTTTGAATTGCACTCTATCAACCGTTCTTCCTGTTTTCTCTCCCTCCTTCCCATACTGTCTTCCTCATGTAGTCGGCAGCTCATCTACCAGAGATCGCTCAGGATGTGGTTGGGGAATGCAGGCAGAAACTGGAACAGAGTCCCTGTAAAGAGCTGTTTCAGGAATGTACCAGGTAATAACAATGTCATTTAAAGGCAAGTCAGTTCATTTGCCAGCCATCTACTGTAGTCAACAGCTAATACATCTATACTACAACGTTTGGGGGGAAAGCTATTTGCTTGCACACACCTGTTCTCACACTCTCCTGCATGCATGTGTCTATTGAAAGAATTGCTGAAACAATGACTGAACTTTAAACTTCTCTCTTTTTTTTTTGAATTGCACTCTATCAACCGTTCTTCCTGTTTTCTCTCCCTCCTTCCCATACTGTCTTCCTCATGTAGTCGGCAGCTCATCTACCAGAGATCACTCAGGATGTGGTTGGGGAATGCAGGCAGAAACTGGAACAGAGTCCCTGTAAAGAGCTGTTTCAGGAATGTACCAGGTAATAACAATGTCATTTAAAGGCAAGTCAGTTCATTTGCCAGCCATCTACTGTAGTCAACAGCTAATACATCTATACTACAACGTTTGGGGGGAAAGCTAATCTCCAAGATACTTTCCCAACTTTGCTTCAATATTACACTACCGTTCCATAATTTGGGGTCGGTGAAATGTTTCTAATATTTCTGAAAGAAGTCTCTTATGCTCACCAAGGCTGCATTTATTTGATCAAAAATACAGTAAAAACAGTAATATTGTAAAATAGTTGTTATAATTTAAAATAAGTGTTTTCTAATTGAATATATTTTATTAGTAATTTATTTCTGTGATGGCAAAGCTGAATTTTCAGCATCATTACTCCAGTCACATGATCCTTCAGAAATCATTCTAATATGCTGATTTGGTGCTCAATACATTTTTTTTTATTATTATCAGTGTTGAAAACAGTTGTGCTGCTTAATATTTTTGTGAAAACCATGCCATACTTTTTTTTTTCTTTCAGATATTCCTTGATGAATAGAAAGTGCAAAAGAACAGCATTATTTTGAATTATTATGATTGTCTAATAAATGTGGCTTTTGATCAGTTTAGTACGTCCTGCTGTATAAAAGTATTAATTTCTTTAAAAAAAAAAAGTTCTTAACCTGTTACTGAATAACAACTTAAATTGTGGTCTGTTTGTTACACAAAGCTATTGTATGATTTCAGCAGATACAGCATGCAATGGCTCTTTCATGTTTAATTTTTTTTGTCATTTTGGAGCTTGAGAGCTTCAGTCCACATTCACTTCAATTATATTCAAAACAGTGTACTAATTATTCTCAAAAAAAAAAAAAAAATATATATATATAGTTTCAAAAACGAATAAACGTTATGAGGGTAAGTAAATAATGTCGACTTTTATTTTTTGGTTGAACTATTCCTATGCTGTAGGCTGGTCCGTGTGTTAACACATGCTAATTATTAAGTTCACAGTGTGTTTGGATTGTCAAGGCTGAAGTGGAATCACTGGTTTATCCAGCTCTTTTTGTGGTGAAATGTTGGAGGATCTCAGTTTGTTTTTTACTGGTATTAGTGTGAAGACTTACGGTTATAGAATGAACCATTCGCTGTAGTCGTACTGTTTGTCTGAGTAATGTAAACACGTGACTTTGAATCTAAACAGTTTTATGTGTTTGTGTTTTGCCTCGGTCAATCTTTGAGTTCTGTTTAGTTTAAGCTTCCTTTCTGTTTGAGAGGGGGTGAGGTGGAGTACTTTAACCCTTCCTGTTAAATCTCTATGGGCACAGTGTTTGTTGAAGTGTATGTTTGTGTATTTGCATGTGTTTCATTAGAGGGTAAGATGGCATCAGATGCATGAGACTCGTCTGCAGTCACACTTGTACATATCATCATTCAGGTTTTGAAGAGTTGCTACCAACAGGTGGAGATGCTACAAACTTAGTTACATTTTTCATAACATAGAAGCACAGTTGTTTTCAAAACATCAAGGTCTAAGTTGTTTGTATAAATAACTTTTAGCTATAAGTATTATGGCATTAATATCGTACAGTGATGGTAACAGAGGCTATTTGGTATTTTGATATATACTGTATAATTTCCTATGTTTATGTACCATGGCATTTTTCAAGCATTCCTTCTCTTTTTTTTTTTCAGGATAGTTCGTGAATATTTAAGTGGAGAGCCATTCTCAGCATATCAGGAGACAATGTACTTTTCCCGTTTTCTTCAGTGGAAGTGGTTGGAGAGGTAAGTAGCATCTCTATTGGCTTTTCTGTTTTTTTTTTGATGGATTTCACTTTTTATTATGGATTTTCATATTTTAACAAAATCTACAAGATAGTGTTTCCAAGTTTTAACACGACCTTCATACAACAAAAAATAAATCTGTTAGTTTTAATAAAAATAACCGTTAGTTGCAAAGCATAGTTAAAGAAATTGCCTTATATTCTATTTCTGAAATGATTGATTTTTTGTGCAGTGAACTGACTCGAACTGTATTTCATTTGCAGGCTACCAGTAACCAAAAACACTTTTAGACACTACAGGGTATTGGGCAAGGGCGGATTTGGTGAGGTGGGTAGTTTCATTACTATCAGATCATTATTTGAGGATTTGACATGACATATTATGTCAGAATATATAAAAATCATGTCATATGTAAAATATATAAAAACCATGTCATATATTTCAAAATCATCTTAAACTAATTTAAACCATTGTAATGATTATGAGTGTAGTTTTTATGACCTATTTAATTGTCACACAGCAGGCATATTTAAAGGTGCGCAGTTGTTTTTTTCTAGTTGAAAAAGTGTTACACATATAGAAATGAATAAAACTTTAGAGAAATAACATTAAAATAATAATACTTAGTGGACGGCAAAAAAGGTCATTAAAATGCATTTCTTTTTCTGGGCCTTCTTCATTCTTTCCACCAGGTTTGTGCCTGCCAGGTTCGTGCCACTGGTAAGATGTACGCCTGTAAAAAGCTGGAGAAGAAACGGGTGAAGAAAAGAAAAGGTGAAGCAATGGCATTAAATGAAAAACGCATTTTAGAAAAAGTTAACAGTAGTTTTGTAGTAAGTACTACTTTCTTTTTATTCCTCATTTTTTACTTTTATCTTAACCTGATGGTCTCAGTTGCATGCTGGTCTTGTCCGTATTATTTGTGCAATAAACGTTTGACTCACACTCTCTGTGATTCAGTTTCCATGAGGTTCTCAACAGAGGAAAAATGTTCTAAATATCAATTTCATATGCATTTATCATGGGTAGTTGGGAAAAATCTAGTCCAGAGTAGTAGTTCACAACGAATTCCTACAGATTGAATCATGTACCTCCTGACTAGCTAAATCACAGAGAGATGCAGATATTTGGCTGTGATCCTAAATATCAACCATACAAATTCATTTAATATTTGCAGTGTAAAAAGAGGAATTTAAACTATTCTCATGGTAAACAGATATTCTTACAAAGCATATATCACTGAGCAGTCCTTGAAATAGTCACAACAACACACTTTGAGTGGAAACACATTCCTGATTTGTTCATATGTTCCTGCCATTATTTTCAATAGTACCAGTTTTACAGAATGTTCTATTTCAAAGTTTGTTTGTTTGTTTTTGTTCCAAAAAAGATGAATCAAAGGATACTCTTCCACTCTATGGTTCTCATTTACCCTTTGAATAGATTTCAACATTGCCCACCTACTTTTCCAAAAGCATGGGTTATTGAATTGCTTTTCACATTCAATTTCTGCATTTAAAGGGATCATATGATGCTATTTTCAAAGATCATTATTTTGTGTATTGGATGAACAAAATAGAATATGTCAGCATGCGTTAATGTTCAAAAAACACATTATTTTTCACATACACTCTTAAAAATAAAGGTGCTTCACGATGCCATAGAAGAACCTTTTTGTCTAAATGGTTCCATAAAGGACCTTTAACATCTGAAGAACCTTTCTGTTTCACAAAAGGTTCTGTGTGGCGAAAGAAGGTTCTTCAGATTATAAAAAGGTAAGAAAGAGATGGTTCTTTAAAGAACCTTTGACTGAATGGTTCTTTGTGGAACCAAAAAGGGTTCTTCTATGGCATCGCTTGAAGAACCTTTTGAAGCACCTTTATTTTTAAGAGTGTACTGTTCATTATTACTGCTCCTCTATACCCAGTCTTCCTAAAACGCAGTGATTTCTACAAAGCCCCAGCGTGCTCTGATTGGCCAGCTGACCCAGTGCATTGTGACTGGCCGAACCTTTCAAGCGTGTGTCGGAAATGTAACGCCTCTTACCATAATCGAGAGCTTCAGCTTCCAAAGAAATTATAAAAGCAGTTAATAATGTCGTCAGGTTTACCGTATCAGTTTGAGCCGATTCGAAGTAGAATAGTATTTGGAAAATTTGAAAAAAGAAAGAAAGAATGTACAACAATCTGTACCTAAGAAGGACTGAATGAACTACTTTGCCTTATAATTTTCTCATCCTCATTTTGTTCCAAACATGATTTTCAGTGTGATTTCTCTTTTTCCTATACTTTCTTTCATGGAACACTTATTTTAATAGTGTTTATAAGCTATTATAGTATTTTTTTATATTTTGAATTAGCTTTTATTTTTTTATATTTTCAGTTTTAGTAACTTTAAGTTTGAGTAATTTTGTGTGCTTTGTAATTTTTATTACTTTTTAAAATATTTCTATTTATTTTTATTTCAGTTTTAATTTGAATAATTTTAGTATTAAAACTAATTTAAGTTAGTTTTTAAATTTAAGTTTTTCACCTAATATTCATATTTTATTTTACAGTATTTCAGGCTTATTTCAATTACCAAAAATGTTTTAAATAGTTTTGGTTTAGTTAACAATTTGTTCTTGTTATTAAACTTGAATGCATGTAAACAAAAATGTTCAATGAATAACGATTCACATTTTGGTTTATTTTTTACACAAAGGTATTATATAGCTTCAGAGAACTATTAATATAGTGCACAGGTCATATGGAGGATTTTTATAATGTTTTTTTGGGTCATTATTGGAGCCCCAATACCCATACACATTTACTGAATAGAGAAAAGTGGTCAGGACAAGTTTTTCCTTTTGTGTTCCACGTTTGAAAGAAAATTACTTTAGAATGACATAAAGTATTGTAGAAAATTATATTTTTTTGGCTAAACACACCGTGTTTTTTAAAAGAGAACAGCCAGCCAAAAATGTGTGCAAACATAGCATTTGATAAAAAAAATGTTTATTACATTTTAAATTGTATTACGTTTAAATAAGCTTTCTATTTTAATATATTTTAAAATGTCATGTATTCCTGTGATGGTAAAGCTACATTTTCAGCAGCCATTGCTCCAGTCTTTTTACATTATCTTTTGAAATTTGGTCACACAGTAAACATTCTAGGACCTCAAAAACAATGGATTTTAAAAGAGACCAGCCAGCCAGCCGAACATATGTACAGACATAGCACACAGTGCCTGCAGTGTAATGCGGCCTCTGATTCATTCCACTAGAGCCGTAGAGCACCTGAGCCTCTGTCCACCCACCCACACACTAACACACAAGCTCACACAGACACACACAGCCACATACACATACAGGTGAGTTGTGCTTAGCTTTGCAGCTGTGTGCAAATGTCTTTTAGGTATTTAACGTGCATCTAAATTTAAAAGAAAGACAACGTGTGTATGTGTGTCTGTGTGCAAGAGCATGCATGTGTGTGTGTGTGTGTCTTTGTGCACATTCATGCTACAGGCAGGAGCGATTACTCCTCATAGACTACTTCACAAATGAGAACATCTCTGTTGCCTAGCAACACTGACCAACAGCAGCGTTAGAGAGCGGAGTCAAGAGCTCTAAACCTTAAACCCACACATACTCACACTCACACTCCAGCCCCAGTTCATTCAGTATGTATAAACAGCCTCATGTTTAAAAGTTAGAGATGACAAGTAAACTCTAACAATGTAAAGTGACATAATGCCATGACTAATAAGAGATGGGAAACAGCTTGGACTCTCTTCAGTGCTTCTATGACTTTGTCATCATCCTACCATTAAGTTGTAAACTTTAAGCAGCAAGTTATCTGATCTATTTATTATGTATATCTATATCTATCTATATTTATATTGCTCCGGGTTTAAATGTTATGTTTGGGGTTGGCAAGATTTTTTCATTGCTTTTGAAAGAAGTCTCTTATGCTCATTAAGGCTGCATTTTTTCATGACAAAATACAGTAAAACTGTAATATTGTGAAAAAATCTAACAATTTTAAATAACTGTTTTCTATTATAATTTTTTATGTAATTTATTCTTGTGATGGCGAAGCTGAATTGTCAGCATCATTACTCCAGTCTTCAGTGTCACATGATCCTTCAGAAATCATTCTATTATGCAGATTTGTTTCTCAAGAAACATTTCTTATTATTATCTTAGTTGAAAACATTTTTGCTGCTTAATATTTTTGTTGAAATCATGCTACAATTTTTTTTCAGGATTCTGTGATGAATAGAAAATTCAAAAGGACAGCATTTATTTGAAATATAACTTTTTTTTGCAACATTACAAATGTCTTTACTGCCACTTTTAATCAATTTAATGCATCCTTTGTGTTTCTTATTATTATCTTAGTTGAAAACATTTTTGCTGCTTAATATTTTTGTTGAAATCATGCTACAATTTTTTTTCAGGATTCTGTGATGAATAGAAAATTCAAAAGGACAGCATTTATTTGAAATATAACTTTTTTTGCAACATTACAAATGTCTTTACTGCCACTTTTAATCAATTTAATGCATCCTTTGTGAATACAGTTATTAATGTCTTTAAAAAACAAACCTTGTTGACCCCAAATATATATAATACACTGAGGAGTCATTTATTTGTTTACATTTTAAAAGCGGCATGACATGATACATGACTAGATTGCTTTACAAATGTAGTTTGTAAGCACTCATATTGGCTCCCATTGGCGTTATGTTTCACATAATGATGTGAAGGGTCCTTTGATAGTCCTCATGGTCTTCTTGAGCTGCAGGTTCCCACAGTTACATCAGCTTCTTGTGTGAGTTCACAGCCCTTTCCCACATCTGTCTACTTCTGAAACCTAACCACCCACAATGTTGGGTGTAACCGCTAAAGGGTAAGAACCCCTCCTTAACAAAGCGGTTTTGAGCTTCTGCAGTGGTTCTCCTCACACGTCACTCAGCAGATCACAGAGGATATGCTGGTCTAAAATGATAATACACTGCATACTGGATGATGTAGCCTTTCTGGACTGGCTTGCTAAGTCAAACATCATCATTACTGCAACTTAAGGTTTTTCTAAATACTGAATCATAAATATGAAATTTAGTTATTTGATCACAATTCAGTAAAAACTGAAATATTGTGAAATATTATTACAATATAAACTTCACAAAACACCTTAGCAACCCTGAAAACCACCACCCTAACATCGTGGTAGCAGGTTTTGCATGGTCATCCACTACTTTTTGTTCAGAAAATGTACAAATCTAGGTTTACTTTCAATCTCTGAGACCCTATGCCTGTAAAAAAATAAAAAAATAAAAAAATCCTAAAGTAAAACAGTAATGGAGATGCTGTAATGGCTAAAATCATATACAGTACTTTTCCTGTGTGTACATCTGTCAAGTTACTTGGTTAACTGTTCGGATTTACACCATGTGTTACAATACTGTTCAAATGTTTGGCATCTTTATTTTTTAAAGAAATGAACAATTAGTCAGAAAGGATGCATTAAATTGATCAAAAGTGACAGCGAAGACACTTATAATATTACAAAAGATTTCTATTTCAAGTAAATGCTATTCTTTTGAGCTTTATATCCATCAAAGAATCCTGAAAAAAAGTATCATGGTTTCCGCAAAAAATATTAAGCAGCAAAACTTTTCAATATTGATAATAAGAAGAATATTTTTGAGCACCAAATCAGCATATTTTGTAAGATCATGTGACACTGAAGACTCGAGTAATAATGCTGAGAATTCACCTTTACCATCACAGGAATAAATTACATTTTATAATATATTAAAATGGAAAACAGTTATTTTAAATTGTAAGGATATTATTTTTATTTTTATTTTTTGATCAAAACCCCAAACTTTTGAATGGTAGTGAATACAATAACAAATAAGTTATAGTATTTAGAATTATATTATATTAGAACTATAGTTATTAGAATGCAGCTATGAAATATGAATGTTTTCTCTGTTTTTGCAGAGACTTGAAACCTGAAAATATTCTCCTAGATGACCGTGGTAAGACATTTTTATTCACCAATGCATTTACAGGCTTTTTTTAAAGCTTATTTACACATATCTACACTTGGGGGTGGACTGCAGTCTGCAACAACATAGCAACTACCCAGAACACCCTAGCAACCAAATAGCAATGGCTTGGCATTTACCCAGAACACCCTTGCATTGTGGCAGCGAGCTTTGCACAAGCAAACACTACTAGATACTAAACACTACTTTCCCTGTTAAACTTCTTTAATCAGATCATTATCCTCTAAGGGTAACATTCTTTATCCCTGTGCAATTTTGAAGCATGTCATGTTTGGGCTTGTTAGGAATTGATAATACTGCAGGTTTTAATGAGATGCCGTTCTCCAGGGCACATCCGTATTTCTGATCTGGGACTGGCCGTCCAAATTCCAGAGGGTGAGACGATACGAGGGCGCGTTGGCACGGTGGGATACATGGGTAAGAGCCAAACGCATTTCGTATCTCTTCAGCAGTACTTGTCCTAGAGTGTTTGACCTCATTCGTCTCTCTATGTGTTTTTAGCACCGGAGGTCATTCAGAATGAGAGCTACACCTTCAGTCCCGACTGGTGGGGTTTGGGCTGCCTAATATACGAAATGATTCAGGGTCAGTCTCCTTTCCGTCGGCGGAAAGAGCGCGTGAAGAGAGAGGAGGTGGACCGCCGTGTATGTGAGGACCAGGAGGAATACACTGAAAAGTTCTCAGAAGATGCTAAAGACATCTGCCGACAGGTGCAGACCTAATGCTTTTTTGTGCTATTGCAAAGTCATGTCGAAATGATCATATTTATGAGATGAAAACATATAACCATTGCCATAGTGTCTTTGTAACCATTGGGGGTTACGGCTAATAAAATTGGTATTGGGGACAATGATATAATGCTAATTTTTCTTTTGTCTGAATGTATTCTTTTTATTCAAATATACATGAAAAAAATCAATTCATAAATACAATACAGTCTTCTCTAAGATTAACACGTTTTAAATTTCTGTTAAAAGTAACATATATATTTTTGGGGGGCATTAAGTATTTGTATTATAATTTTTTTTATCAGGAAAAATTAAGTAGTTATGTTAAAATATTATATTAATATTTGGGAACGGAAGTTTGAAAGGTAAATCAAAGTAATGTGGATATAAGCAAAATATTTATTCAATAATTCATGATATTTGTAAACAAAAATGATCTTTTTAAAATGATTTTAAAAATAATGATTAAAATGTGTACATTCCCATGCATCTAAGGCACAGGAAAAATATTCGTTAACTTGATACACCACGTCAGTGTTATTTTAGCATTATTTATGTATATTTTTAAATTGATTAATATTTTAAATAACTGAAAATATAAAAATAAAAGGTTATGTTTTCAATTAAGTTTTAGTAATTTTAAACATTTCTATTTATTTATTTTCATTTCAGTTTTAGTCATTTTAGTACTTTAACTTGTACTTATTTTATTTCAGTTTGCCAAGGCAGCATTTTTTCATCTAAAATGTATGGTTTTACTTTTCAACACTTCACCACATTACCTTTTTTGGAGTCATTCAATTTAAACTTTTATTGAAAGTGCTGTAAGTTTTTCGAGAGCAACATAAATGCAAAGTTGTAGATGTTTAAGAACTTGTTAAATGTTTTTACACTACATTTTTTAAAGATGTTCTTTTTCTCTATCATGGAAACTCAGAATTAAGTTGAAATATTGAATGTTGGCTATAATATGTAATATTTTCTACATGGGAAAGAGTCACTGTGTAGTTGTGGAGGAGTGTTGTTTAGTCCTCTCTCATGGTGTCATGGAACACTGTGACCTCAGGGTCACTTTTACTTCCACTGGGATTTCTCCTCTTCTATGTTAGCCTCACTTCTTTCACTCTCTGACAGCAATTTCCCTCTCTTTTTTTGGGCTCCACAGTTGTTATGTAAAGATCCAAAGGAGCGGCTGGGGTGTCAAGGAATTGGAGCAGCTGAAGTCAAACTGCATCCTATTTTACGCAACATCAACTTCAAGCGATTGGAGGCCAACATGCTAGACCCACCGTTCTGTCCTGATGTGAGTTATTCATTGGCATGTATTGGTTTTTATCTGCTTGATTAAAAAAACTCCTATTGGACTAATCATGTAGGATTTTCCAAGTGGATGCTTATCGTATTCAATGTGGGGTTTTTTTTTAGCCACGTGCGGTGTACTGCAAGGATGTTCTGGACATAGAGCAGTTTTCTACAGTCAAAGGTGTAAACCTGGACCCAACAGACGATGACTTCTACCACAAGTTTGTAACCGGAAGTGTCTCCATCCCATGGCAAAATGAGGTACGACGCTCTGGTCACTTCAGGACAGTAACATGTCCATACTTCTGTAAGGGTTGGCAAAATTTGTTAGTATTTTTGAAAGAAGTCTTTTTTGCTCACCAAGGCTGCATTTATTTAAAGGTTCCATAGAATGGAAAACTATTTACCTTGGCATAGTTGAATAATACCAGTTCTGTACATGGAAATGACATACCGTGAGCCTCAGACACCATTGTTTTCCTCCTCCTCATGTAAATCTCGTGCATACAAAAGACCACTGAAAAATAGGCGAATCAGAACATAACACCGACTGTGACGTTACAGTTGGGATCACTAATAGTTACGCCCCCAACATTTGCATATACCCGCCCATGTTGTATTCCAGCCGCCAGCCGAATCATCAGAAGTTCTGCAGGTATTGTGAAGAAACAAGCGAGGATAATAGCGAAAATGGCAGATCATGGAAATAAATGTTATGTTCCAGGCTGTGCAGGGATGGGTTGGTGTCTGTATTCAGAAAGGCACGGAAAACAAATAACGTGCGTTCTAATAAAATAATGCGAGCCACTAAAGGGACATGGTTAGCTGCTTGCTAGCGGTAGCCTGTTACATTACGGTACATAAGATCAGAGGTGGACTTAACCATTAGGCAAAGGTAGGCGAGCGCCTTGGGCCCCCAAAAGCCAAGGGCTCCCTAAAATGCTTTTTATATGCGAGATGCGCGTTCAGCAAGTGGTTGCTGTGGTGTTCATTACCACGACAACCGTCTGTGCGTCTGCGTTGAACGTGCTTCTTAGCAAAAGTAGGGCGATGTAGAAAATGGGGACGGAATCTATTCATAAAAACGGAATTTACTGTGTAACGTGGAATTTACGGAATGAACGGCGCAGACGCGTGTTTCGTTTGCTAGTTTGCTATTTAAGCACCTACAACGCTCGCGGTTGTCGTCTGTAGTAGCTAAATAGTATTTTTGCCATTTAATATTCACATACACTAGTCCGTATCGCTGTTTGATTGTGTACTGAACTGCATTTGAATTCCGTGACATTGCTCGTTACACAGTAAACTTCTGTTGTGTAGCATTTTGAATGTACAAAAATTAAAGGGTTTGTTTAATTTTCATTGGAATAAAAGATAGATTCATGTTTTTGCCTTCATTTGATTACCAGAAAAATGAAAAATTTTCACAGAATTTCTAAAAAAAATAAGTAAATAAAATTTTTGTGAATTCAATTAATTAGATATGTTTTTGATTTAAACCATTAAAATGGAATACAGAAAAAATTTAATGGAAAGCACAAAATTTGGGCCCTAAGAATGTAATTTTTGTTAAACTTTTAATAGGCCTAAATTGCTGTTAAATTAAACAAGTTTCATGATTTTAATTAATTAGACATGTTTTTTGTTAAAATGTAATATAATCATCCAGAAAAATTTAAATGAAAAAAAAAAAAAAACTGAATCCAGAAAAATTTAAATCTTAAATTTAAATAAATCATGCATATTGTGCATATTATATAGGGCCTATTTTAATTTTTTAAAATGGTGCTCACTCGTTTTTGTGAAAGACCCAAAAAGGACCATGCACAGTCACTTTCCACACAGGCACACTTCATGTTTGGTTGAAATAATCCTTAAGCATGTAAATGTATAATTTCCTTCAGTTTAATTTAAATGTGCAATTAAAATAAATAAAAA